GATTGATTGATTAACTTTTTGGACCAAATTTATTTGTTAATAGTAAAATATTAACAGAAATGTTATTAAATATTTGTTTTAATAACATAATATTAATATTAAATCCAATCCGTTTTTCTGTTTTGGTAACAGAAAAGTAACTACCCTCTTCAATTTTCCCTTTTTATTATTGAGTAAATGGCTATGTAATGGCATTTATGCTGTGGGCGTTTTGCATAAACAGCCATTCTGAAGAGTTGCACCTCTTCAGATTTCAGCCCAACTTTGGCTATAAATACAACACTATTCTGCTCAGAATTTCACTATGATTTTCTGAGTTTTCTCTCCTTCTTCTGCATACTTTTAGCATCAAACAAAGTAAAAAGTAAGTGTGATTTGCTACCGAACTTTGTGTTCGCTGAAACACTGGGGTTTGAAGTACCACTACACCAGTGTGTAATTCGTTATATCCTGGGAGGAAATAATCCATAAACTTGGGTACTAGGAGGGGATTAAATTCCTTAAGGAAACACTGTGAATTCAGTGGGCTCGAATTGGTTTTATGTCATTTCTGTTTATGTTCATTTCTGTTTATGTTCATTTATATTTCTAGAATTATTTTACAAATACAGTCTACTAACAAATTTAACATGATTTATGTCCGCGCATCGCGCGGGTACTAATACTAGTTATTATTAATGTCCCATAAAAGCTCTAACATACTTGGGCAAGTTTGTTTTGGTTTAAGAAACAAGAATTTGAAACAACATTTACTATTTTACATTGTAGCATGTTGGAATAATCTTTAACTTGTATTAATTCCTGAATAAAGAAGGATTTAATTCATTAAAAATGTTGTTAAATTATTAGTGTATTTTAATATTGTACTACAGGTTTTTTGCTCTATTTTTAAAGTTAATCATATCAAACTTAAATGAAGTACTTAGTTACTTAGTATTGTGTATATAAGTAACTTAATTAAAATGGTATAAAGAACTAATTATCAATGTACAGAAGTACTTAAAATCTGAACAAATTATGCAAATTGCAACTGTTTTTTGAACTCTAATTAAGAGACATCACAATGCGCAAATGTATTGACTCTCTAGAGTAATACGTAGTTTATGGTTGGTCTAAACTATTGTTACAGCTTCAAGCCTAATTTGCTTGTTAACCCTAGCAATAAAATCATCAGCTCTCTTGCTCAATTCATTAGGCTCTGCAGCAAATTTGAACTCCTGATAATCTCCCTTATATTTCTCTTCCTTCTGATCTTTCTCATTTTCTCCGCAATATCTGGTGCAATTTTCCCTAATTTTCTGGTCCTCCTCTTTATCACCATATCCGTAAAATTCCTCTTCTTTCACTTCATGATTCACTTCTCTTCCATTAAAGGGTAAAGAATAATGACTTGACCTGAAAATCTTAGACTCTCCAGCAATAAAAATGAAGTTTTTCTGATCTTTCTCTTCATTTTCTTGCTCCTTTGTAGAGTTCAGCTTCACATTAGAGGCTAAAGAAGAGGATCTTGATTTGAAGATCTTAGACTCTCCAACAAGAACTATAACTATGAGGTTACCAACTATGAAGATACACTTAGGACTGAAAACTAGTGCACCAACTTTAGGTATAGAGTCGAAGAGAAAGACTTTTACAAAAGAACGAAGAATGGGATACCAAAGAGGACTAGAGAGAAATAAACTGCAACTCAGTGCTGTGAATGAATAAAGCATGAGTTTGTTGAGAAGCCGCTGTTTTCTGTACTTGTTCATAGCTTGAATCTTCTTCATTTGAAGAGAATCCATTATTGTATAACAGAGCTAAGTGCAGAAACGGAGAGAATTTGCAAATGAAGGTGACTAAAATAAGCTCTTATGATAGCATTGTTAAAAAAAAGTTCGTGCAATGCGACAGTCAGCTTTCTTTATTTAAAGTTAATGGAGAAAAAAAGCGGCATCTTTTACTTAATGTCTGCCTACTTTATATCCTCTACTTGCCTATGCTTTTGAGCTGCTTTTCGTGTTTCACTCTTTTGCTTTTCTGATTTATTACAAACAGCGGGTTTGAAGGAGAATTGTTATTGTCAATGCATTGGAAGTTCAAATAAAGGAACAGGGCGATCTCCCATAAAGCAAATAAAGCAACCGCTTTAAGCTTATATTTGTGGAACTTTATTTTTTGATACACCTAATAGATTATATATAAGTTTTTAAAAAAGTTATGTATAGTAAAAAAGTTTGTTTTCTTTTTTTAACAAATATAGAGAAGAAGAATTTGCAACTGCTATGATTTCTACCAAGGAAATTGCACTTTAAATGAATATCGAACCTGAATTTCATAAGAAACGTGTAATATATAGGAAGTAACAATTTGATGCAAATGTTGGTAATGAAATCTCAAAATCTTTCGAATAGTCCTTTAGAGTTGATTACTTTATATATAATAAACAAGACTATTTTTTCACTTCAAAATATATTTGAACAATTTGAAGCATATGAAAATATTTTTAGTTTTCTATTTGGCGGTAAAAACTAAGATCACTAAATATTAGAAATTTTAAAAAATATTGCCTTAATCTTGAATATTCCTTAAACCATAATAATCAATTCGATATTGATGGTTTAGATTTATTTTCTAAATTAAAAGTATTAAGAAAAATAGTACAATTAGAAGATAGCAGTTTAATTGATACTCTTAATCAAATAAAAAGATTTAATTTTTTTCCAAATACCTAAATTGCTAATGTTAGTAACTCATGTTACCATTGCTTCAGCCAAAAGAAGTTTACAAAGTTAAAACTGATAAAATCTTACCTAAGATCAATAATGTCACAAGAAAGGTTAAATGAATTAGCTATATTGTCAATTGAGAAATACTTATTAAGAGTTATTGATTACAAGAAAATTATTAATAACTTTGTATATAAGAAAAGCTAAAAGAAAAATAGGCTTCAAATAAATAATAAAAAAATTAAAAAGTTAAGGCCCCTCATTAAGTATGGATTTAGGTCACAAAATTCGTCGGGCCGCCCCTGGGAACAGTAGGATGGGATCAGAGGCGGAGCCAGAATTTGAAGTTTATGAGTTCAAAATGTAATAGTTCAAGTTACAAGGTTTTAAATTAAGAAATTTATACTACATATGTAATGGATGTCACAACCCGAATTTCCCACCGTCGGAACCGTGATGGCGCCTAATGTTGTACCCGCTATGCAAGCCAACATTACAATTTATTTCACCTTTTTCCTTTTGTCTTTTAATAATTTTTACAAGTTAACATAAGTAAATCAATGGAATAAATGCGGAGGAACATAATTTAACAGATTATCTTATACAACTACGAAACCATAATAAAACTCCACTCAGAACTGGTGTCACAATCTCACGGACCGTTTACGAATACTACAAATAACAGTCTGAACAAACAAATACACATCTGTCTCGAAAATAGATAAAATAGAAAATAAATAGGATATAAGGGGATGCCAAGGCCTACGGACGCCTGCAGGACTACCTCGGGTCTCCACTGGACTGAAGGCAGTAACCTCGAAATACGGTCTGTATGGTCCAGCACCGGGATCTGCACATAAAGTGCAGAGTGTAGTATCAGTACAACCGACTCCATGTACTGGTAAGTGCCGAGCCTAACGTCGACGAAGTAGTGACGAGGCTACGGCGGGGCATAACAATACATACATACATATATATATATAACCTGCAATAGATAAACAGAAAAGATGTACGGAATGAAAAATAACCGCAACTTGCATTAAAGGAACACACGACTCAGTCATTCTACTAGTATCCAGCTATAACCAATCCTTAGGGAATTTCAACACCTCAATAATAACTTCAACAGAAATAAGTGCCAAAAATAATAACTAATGCGGCGTACATCCCGATCCCACCATACGAACGATAACAGTATCAATATTCTCCCTTATTCCTCCTTGTTGCGGCGCGCTACTCCATCCCACTTGTCCTCCCTTATTACTCCTCAACACATATCACCCTTATTCCTCCTATTGCGGCGCGCTACCCGATTCCACCTGTCCACCCTTATTACTCCTTGTTGCGGCGTGCAACCCGATCTCACCAGACAATTATATTCCTCCCTTATTCTTCTTGTTGCAGTGCACAACCCGATCCCAACATATGTATATATATCAACACCAATCACAAAGAATAAATCCAAGGTGTTTCACAAGTTAACTCAATTTCCACATTTCCTATACTTCAACCCACACAATTGGGATATCGCTACGATTATGAAACTTCACCGATGAAAGCTAATCAGCGAGACCAACCAAGGTGCACCACAAGGCACCAATATATCAATATAAGCCAACGGGGTAATCAAATGAAGCTACGAAACCAATAATACTTCAACAGGAACATCAACAGTTAACATGAAGCAATTAAATATTTCAATAAAGAGAACAACAGTTAATATGAAGCAATTAGACATGGAAACATTTATGATCAAGTAACAATTAAGGCAGGAAAGCAAAATATAGGGAAGCGGGGAAAGGAAATGGGCTAAACAAGTAATTTGATGACGCATAGGTACTCGTCACCACACATATACGCCACACACATGATATTTCACATAACAAGCAAGTCGGGGATCCCTAGTCCCTCAAGTCAAGGTTAGACCAAATACTTACCTCAAGCCAACGGGTAATTCAACACCACCGCTTTACCTCTCGATTCTACCACCAATTCACTCATAGGTACCCATAATTAATTTAATAACATCAATAAATGCTAAATAAACCAATTCTAATGCATGAATATAAAATTTCCAATGTTTTCCCCAAAAAGTCAAAACCCGACCCCGAGCCCACTTGGTCAAAATTCGAAGTTCGAACCAAAATCTGATTACCCATTCACCAACGAACTCAAATATGCAATTTGTTTTGAAATCCGACCTCAATTTGAGGTCCAAATCCCCAAAATTCAAAAATCCTAATTTCTACCCAAGAACACCCAATTTCCCATGAAAAAACCCTAGATTTTGAAGTGAAATCATGTAAAAAGATGAATTAGATTAAAGAAGATGAGTTAGAAATCACTTACCTATGATTTGGAGAAGTTTGAGTATTGGAAAAATCGCCTAGGGATGTTTAGGGTTCAATGAAGTTGAAATCTCGTCCAATTGATGTTTTGTTCAGGTGTAGATGTCGCAAATTGCGAACGTGCTGCATGTCTGCTCCTATCGTAATTGCGAGCATTTTGTTGCAATTGCGATGACTGGCCCCTCCCTGTTGACTTCGCAATTGCGAAGGGATGCTCGCAAATGCGAACCAATGCTGGCCTGGGCTTTTTCGCAATTGCGATAAAGCCCTCGCAATTGCCAAACCTGTTAGGGTCGCAATTGCACAGCCTGACCTCACAATTGCGAGATCAGAACCTGCAACACACACCAGATGCAACAGCAGTTTTCTCTAAGTCCCAAAACACTCCGTGGCCTATCCAAAACTCACCAGAGCCCTCGAGGCTCCAAACTAAACATGCACAAAAGTCTAAAAACATCATACAGACTTGCTCGTGCGATCAAAGCGCCAAAATAATATCTTAAACAACGAATTTAATACCAAAACACATGAAATTCATAAAGTAGTTCAAATTTCTATTTTCTCAACCAAGGGTCCGATTTATATCAAATCTCTTCCGTTTTTTACCAAATTTCACAGATATGACGTAAATATTATATTAAACCTGTACCGGGCTCCGGAACCAAAATACGGGCCCGATACCATTAAGATTACACACCATCTCATTTCCAAAAGTCCTTATATTTTCCAGCAAACAATTTTTTTTTAAAATTCTTTTCTCGAGCAAGGGACCTCGGAATTCAATTCCGGGCATACGCCCAAGTCCAATATTTTACTACGGACCCTGCGGGACGCGGAACACGGGCCCGGGTCCGTTTACCCAAAATATTGACTGAAGTCAACTAAAATTATATTTTTAAGCCAAAATCATTATTTTTAAATTTTCACACAAAAGCTTTCCGGTATCGCTCCGGAATGCGCACGCAAATCGAGGAGAGATGCAAGGAGGTTTTCAAGGCCTCAAAACACGGAAATGGACTCTAAAACAAATGATGACCTTTTGGGTCATCATATTCTCCACCTCTAAAACAACCGTTCGTCCTCGAACGGACATAGAAAAGTACCTGAGTCGGTGAAAAGATGAGGATATCGGCTCCGTATATCGGACTCGGACTCCCAGGTAGTTGCCTCAACAGGCTGACCTCTCCACTGAACACGAACTGAGGGATAACTTTTTGATCTCAACTGTCGAACCTGCCGGTCTAGAATAGCTACCGGCTCCTCCTCGTAGGTCAAATCCTGGTCCAACTGGACAGTGCTGAAGTCTAACACGTGGGATGGATCGTCGTGATACTTCCGAAGCATGGACACATGAAACACTAGATGTACTGCTGATAAACTCGATAGCAACGCAAGTCTGTAAGCCACCTCTCCCACTTGATCAAGAATCTCAAAAGGCCCGATGAACCTAGGGCTTAGCTTGCCCTTCTTCCTAAATCTCATCATGCCCTTCATGGGTGACACCCGAAGCAATACTCACTCTCTGAACATGAATGCCACATCACGAACCTTACGGTCGGCATAACTCTTTTGCCTGGACTGAGCTGTACGAAGCCTATCCTTAATGATCTTAACCTTGTCCAAGGCATCCTGTACTAGATCTGTACCCAACAACCGAGCCTCCCCCGGCTCAAACCACCCGACTGGCGAACGACATCGTCTACCATATAATGCCTCATAGGGAGCCATCTGGATGCTCGACTGATAGCTGTTGTTGTACGCAAATTCCGCTAATGGCAAGAACTGATCCCACGAACCTCCAAATTCAATAACACAGGCGCGAAGCATATCC